AAGGCTTCACAGTGAGGTGCTCAACCGACTGCGCCACCAGGGAGGCCCAAGGCCTTTATTTTTTAGAGCAGTTTTAGACTTATAGCAAAATTGAGCATGAAATACATAATTCTTACATACCTCTTCCTCCCAACACACAGCCTCTTCCCACACCAACATCTGGCAAATTCTGGTGGTACATTTGTTACAATCATCGAGGTATTATTGTCATCCAAATTCCATAGTTTACTTTAGGGGTCACTCTTGGTATTGTACATTCTTTCGGTTTTTTTTAAAGATTGATTTATTTATGCGTACAAGATCTGGGGTGCAGGGCAGAGGAGCAGGGGCTGAGAGGATTCACCAGAGACAGAGTGGGGAGTATTACAGGTGGATCTACTGAAATACTGAGGGGAGCAGCAGGTGAGACAGGAGAGATCTGTTGCGCCATGTGGGTCACCTCCCTGGTGGGAGATCAAACTTGTGCTGCAGCAGCTATGAATAGCTTCATAGAGCTGGGACTTAACCCCTGCACCACCAAAGAGGCCCCCCCATTCTTTGGGTTTTAAAAAATGTAAAATGACATGTGTTCGCTGTTAGTATCGCACTGAATTATTTCATATCCCTAAAATCCCCTATGTGCCACCTATTCATCTCTCCTTCCCTGTTCCCAAATGCCTGGCAATTACTTGCCTTTTTTCTCTTTCCATAGTTTTGTCTTTTTAAGAGTATCATATGTTTAGAATGATATAAACTGTACAGCCTTTCACTTACCAAATGCATTTAAGTTTCCTCCATGCCTTTTCAAGGGTTAATAGTTCATTTATTTTTTATCACTAGTTAATATTCTGTTGTATGGATTTACCACAGTTCATGGCTAGAAATTTAGGCCTTTAGCAAATAGTCATATGAGGGGGTCACCTAGAAAAGAGATCCTGTACCCCAGTTAAGCCTTCAGATAAGTGCAGTCCCAGCCACATGCTCACTGAGCACTTACATGGTCTTTCCTCTGTGTGTTTTCATACCTAGGGTCTCTCTGTGTTCCTAATCCCCTCTTCTCCTGGGCCCACCCTAATCATCTCCTTTGAACCCAAGCACCTCTTTAAAATATCCTACCTCCAAATATACTTACATTTGGAGGGAGGAATAGGGACACATTCAACCCATAACAGAGGGCAAGTGTATTGTTAACTTTTAAAACTTCGTATTTTCCTGATGCTTCAATGTTTCCACAAACAGCTTGTGAGCACCAGGTGCACGAATGTGAGAAGACTGGTTCCTGCCACAAGTTCCTCTTCTTCCCTGACTATGATATAGTGACATTCAAATACACCAGTGAAGTCCCCTCACACATTTTGTTGTGTGCTCCACACAGACCCCAATAAAGGCACCCAATAAAGCCAGCTTGGTTGGACTGGCTCCTGGGGTACTCCTCTCATGGGGCCCCCCACATGCAGTGTCATGTCTTCCTCTTCTAGAACCAATGGGTACAATACATCCTCTAATCTGATCCATACGCCTTTCTGAGTGTAATTTCCACAAGTGGTAAGACTTATCCCAAAATACCCTACCCTTGGGCCTCCCCGGTGGCGCAGTGGTTGAGCGCTGGGTTGCGAAGCTGCCCGCGGCCTCTGCAGCGCTGGTTTGATCCCCGGCTGCTCCCCGGCCACCAGAGGAGGGTCCCACATGGCGTGCAGACCTCTCCTGCCGCCCGCTGCTCCCCTCAGCAGTGTACTTCGGCCCTTCTGCCTGCTCTGCTCCCCGCTCTGGCTCTGGTGAATTCTCTCACCCTCCCGCGCTTCTGACTGTACCCAGTGCATGTATAAACAAAACAAACAAACAAACAAATAAATAAATAAAACATGCCTCTATTAAAAAAAAAAAATTAAAAAAAAAAATACCCTACCCTTATGCACCATATTCCCCCATTTATAGTACAGTAAGATTCTGAACTTTCAACATATCATTGCTGTCATAAGACTTTTGGGGACTCTGGCAGAGAGTATTTTTCATGTGGGAGGAATGTTAATAATTTGTGGCCATAAACAGAATGTAGTGGTTTTAAAGTATATCCATGATGGGCCTCCCCTGGTGGCACAGTGGTTGAGCGCTGGGGTGCGAAGCTGCCCGCAGCCTCTGCAGCACCGGTTCGATCCCCAGCCACCACGCGAGGATCCCACATGGCGTGCAGGCCTCTCCTGCCGCCCGCTGCTCCCTTCAGCAGTGTACTTCCTCAGTCTGCCTGTTCTGTTCCCTGCTCTGGCAATGGTGAATTCTCTCACCCTCCCGCGCTTCTGACTGTACCCAGTACTTGTATGGATAAATAAATAAATCTAAAAATAAAAAAAATAAAATAAAGTATATCCATGAGTTCTTGATGCTTTTCCCACCAAGAGGTGAATGTTAATTCCCTTCCCCTTGAATGTGGGGTGGACTTAGTGATTTGTTTTCAGCAAATATCAATAGAACAAGGTGAAGTGACAGTGTATTGCTCCCAAAACTATGTCATAAAAGGTACTAGATGGCCTCCCCGGTGGCGCAGCTGTTGAGCGCTGGGTTGCGAAGCTGCCTGCGGCCTCTGCGGCGCCGGTTCGATCCCCAGCTGCTCCCCGGCCACCGGAGGAGGGTTCCACATGGCGCGCAGACCTCTCCTGCCGCCCGCTGCTCCCCTCAGCAGTGTACTTCGGTCCTTCTGCCTGCTCTGCTCCCCACTCTAGCTCTGGTGAATTCTCTCACCCTCCTGCGCTTCTGACTGTACCCAGTGCATGTATAAACAAACAAATAAACAAGAAATAAATAAATAAAATACATGCCTCTTTAAAAAAAAATAAAATAAAATAAAAGGTACTAGAGCTTCCTCTTCATTGCTCTTTCTTAGATCACTAACTCTGGGGGGAAGTTACCACTAAACACTCATATGGTCCATGAAAAGACCCTTATGGCAAGGAATTGGCTTCCCTGCCAACAGCCCAATGACTAACCCTACCAGAAGTAGATCCTTTAGTTCCACTCACATCTTAGTTAACTGCAACTCCAGCTGACATCTTGAATATAACCTTGTGATAGGCCCTGAGTAAGACCATTCAGCCAAGCTGCTCCCAGATTCTTGACCCCAGAAACTATGTGAGATAATATTTATTATTTCAAGCCACTAAGTTTGGGGTAATGTGTTACCTGGCAATAAATAACATACTAGGTCTTATCAAAGAAGTAAAATGATAGAGAGGGAAGAGTAGCTCCATTCATTTATTTACATCACCTGCTTAGTGTCTGTAGGCATTTGAGTTTATGACCCTACAAAGTCACAAAGGTCATCTATATCTCTAAGGAAGATGTCATGGCATCCCTTTGTTTGGTGTCCCTTCCCTCCAGCATGACTAATTCAATAAGTCCTCCAGTAAATCCTTACTACCAGGAGAGAGAAGTACAAGGGCAACACTGAGTTGTCAAGCCCATGTATTAGATTCTTCACTTGGAAATATTTGTTTGAAATTGGGAAATCCGCAACTTCTGGTCAGGTATGGTAAGAATATGACTCAAATCAAGTAGAAATCAGTTAAATATATTATGTTGAACCATATTAAATTGCCAACATTTAACTGCTAGAACAGCAGTATCATAGGGTTAAACCAATTTTGCGTGTGTGCTTATCATATTCAATCCACTCACAGTTTGTCCCTACACATTCATCCCTCCTCTAGCTGTCTGTCATCGTGACTCCATCTGGAGGAGTCATAGGTGCTCTCTGGGGAGGCCAGCCTTTCTATGCAGGCTGTGTGAATCCCAACAGTCATCCTCAGCGCTGCCAAGCCAACCGCTGCATGTATTCATAAGACTGGGTTTATAGCCCAAACATGTAGCTTGTCTTTTGATCTTAGGGCCTGACCCTAATATTTTCCTTGTGGAGGGTATGAAGAGCTGTTGCAACTAGAAAGTGGGTAGAAGTGGTGAAGTTGGTAATTGGTGGTGGTGGTGATGGTGGTAGGCTGTAGTAGTAAAGGTAGCAGTGGTAATGGAGGTGATGAGGAGGAGTTGAGGATGGTGGTGGTAGTTAGATAGCAGTGATAGAGGTCGAGGTGGTGGTACAGTTGAGGGTAGTAGTGTAAGTGGAGGATGTATAATGCTTGTGGTTGGGGATAGAGATAGAGGGGGTGGTAGAGTTGGGGGGTGGAGTTGAAGATGGTGGCAGAGGTTATAGAGGTGAAGGTGGTAGTAGAGCTGGAAGTATGGGATACGGTGGAGATGGTGGTGGTGCACGTGGAAGTGATGAAAGTGGTGGAGATGTTAGAGGTTGTAGAAGTAGAGTTGGAGTTGGTACTGGTGGTTCCTAGTCTCAGTTCTCAATATTCTCAGTAGGGACACAGCAGAATTTCTGCCTTGGACACATAGTACAGCTATACTTCCTCCTGTGTGCTCCTTATTTAACCCGCCTCTTACCCTGGAGCCATTTTGCCCTTGAATCCTTAACTATGTATAAGTCAAGTTCACAAATTATATCTCTGCTAATCACTGTCCCCACTCTGTCTCTGGTGAATCCTCTCACCACCACACACCTCTGGCCTGTACCCCAGTTCTTATATGCATAAATAAATAAATCTTTAAAAAAAAATAGGGCCTCCCTGGTGGCTCAGGTGGTTGAGCGCAGCGCTGTGAGGCTGTCCGTGGCCTCTGCAGCACAGTTCGATCCCTGCCAGCCGAGGAGATGCCAACATAGTCCGGCAGACCTCTCCTGTCTCGCCTACTTCTCCCCTCAGCAACGTTTTCGCATTTTTGGTCCGTCTGCCTATTCTACTCCCCGCTCTGTCTCTGGTGAATCCTCACACCCTCCTACACATCTGGCCTGTACCCAGTTCTTGTATGCATGGATAAATAAAAATCTTAAATACATAAATAAATATAATAAAATAAAGAGACTTAACTTTCAAGAGGCGTTTGCCTGTGTGTCAGTGTGTTATGGGAGCGGTTAGGCAGGTTTGGAGACGAACAGGTGCCAAAAGGCTCCCAGATAGTAAGAACGGGAAAGAAACTTGTTCTCCCTTTCTCTCCTTTAAGTTGTCTTGTTTCAACAACTGCAGGATATGATAAACAAGAGAATTTATTCCAACTTCCAATTTATCTCCCAACTTGTGGGCAAGGCAGGAACAAGGAAGGGCTGTTAAAAGCTGGCCTAAAATCCTCCCTAATACTTTGCATTGATAATGGCTTATCTACTCAAGGGCTGTAGGAATGGATGAGGAGGGAGATTCAGGTGAATGGTCAGAATTTGGTGTTGGGAGTTCAGTAAATTTGTTTTTTGACTCAGAATCCAGGGGTTCAGAAAATGCCTTTTTTGACTCAGAATCCAGGGGTTCAGAAAATGCCTTCTTTGACTCAGAATCCAGGGGTTCAGAAAATGCCTTCTTTGACTCAGAATCCAGGGGTTCAGAAAATGCTTTCTCTGACTCAGAATCCAGAGATGATTTCCTTTGCCCAGGATCCAGGACTTCCTCCTGGTTGACAGAGACATTTAAGATGTTTGAGGTAATCTGTTCAGTGTGTGATTCGCTGTAGTTACTGCTGATAGACTCAGAATCGGTGTCAGAAGGATGGATCTGAATCAGACTCCAGAAATGTTTGTAGTTGAAGTAGCAGAGGATCCCTGAGAAAGGACAAGGGGATGGGGAGAGGAAGGTCAGAGTGTAGGAGGAAGTGGCGAGCAGGATGAGGCCAAATAGAAGTCCCTAAGAGCCTATCCCTGGGGATTGCCAGCCCCCTCCCTCCACACATGTCCCACATGTCCCCTCCTTCCCAGGGGCTCTCCAGGCCACTCACCACAGGTGACATATAGGGTAAACACCAACCAACCAATGAAATAGCTCCAGCCAATGGGGATTGACAAATTCTTCTTCAATTCAAAAATCCAGAGGTTAATAGGAAACAACATGAGGGTGGAGAAAATGAAGGTAACTAGGAGACAGGAAACAGAGGGATCTTATTCTCACCCAAGAATCCCAGAGGGACTCTCCCTCATCTACTAAACACAGCCACAAACCACAGCTCCCTTAACACACAGAGTACAGAGCCCCAGAGTGTCATGAGAATCAACCCCTCCACCTCCACCTCTCCAGTGGCTGGGAAATGATGGAACATTGTTCTCAGTCAACAACTACTAGTTCTGTTCTCTTATCAGCCATAAAACCCCTACCCCACACCCCAAAAAAGGAAGAGGGAGAAGTGCCTGTGAAGATAGGGTTAGGAGAAATGAAGGACCTTTTCCAGAGCTAGGGGGCACCTTCAGAGAAGCTCATGACAATCCCAATCCAGCCAAAGAAGGGCAGTTTCGGGCAAACAGGTAGGTACGGCAGGTGCAACCAGATGGTGAGGATGAAGCCCAGCCCTAGGGCGAGGGTGAAGGTTATCTTGGCCAACCCAAATATTGGGTGATTTGTCCACAGCTTAAAACTGTCTGAGGAAATGAAAAAAAAACAGGATGAACTAAGGAGTCACAAAAAGACAAAACATAGTAAAATAAGCAAATATGAGAAAATGTTCATCTTCACTAATAACTAAAGAAATGTACATTTGAGATTTCACATTATGTTTTCATAAAGATTCTTCATATGGGGGGCCTCCCCGGTGGCGCAGCGGTTGAACACAGGGTTGCAAAGCTGCCTGCAGCCTCTGCAGCGCCGGTTCAATCCCAGGCTGCTCCCCGGCACCAGAGGAGGGTCCCACATGGTGCGCAGACCTCTCCTGCCGCCCGCTGCTCCCCTCAGCAGTGTACTTCGGTCCTTCTGCCTGCTCTGCTCCCCGCTCTGGCTCTGGTGAATTCTCTCACCCTCCTGCGCTTCTGACTGTACCCAGTGCTTGTATAAATAAATAAATAAATAAATCTTTAAAAAAAAAAAAAAGATTCTTCATATGGCAACTGTTTGATAATCCCAACCAGATGAAATTTAATACCTCAATAGAAAATGTGGACAGGGAACTTGAACTGCAATTCTCAAAAGAAGAGATCAAATGCTAAAAAAAACACATGAGGGCCTCCCTGGTGGCGCAAGGGGTTAAGCACCGCACTATGGGGCAATCCACAGCCTCTGCAGCAGGAGTTCAATCCCCAGCTGGCCAGGGAGCAACCCCCATCGCACAGAAGATCTCTCCTGACTTGCCCGCTGCTCCCCTCAGCAGTGTATTTCAGTCAGTCTGCCTGTTCTGTTCTGTTCCCCAATCTGTCTCCGGTGAATCCTCTCACCCCCCACATCTCTGGCCGGTACCCCAGCTCTTGTGTGCATAAATAATAAATCTTTAAAAAAAAACAAACAAACACATGAAATGCAACATAAAGAATTGTAAACTAACTGTGATTTTTTTATTTTTTTTTTTTTTTGGCTTAAAAAAACTGGGGTATTGGCCAGAGGTGCAGGGTGAGAGCATTCACCAGAGTCAGAGTGGGGAGCAGAACAGGCAAATTTACTGAAATACAATGCTAAGGGGTATTTCAGTAAGTGAGACAGTAGAGGTCTCTTGTGCCATATGTGGGTCAGCTCCCTGGCTGGGGATGGAACTCAGGCTGTAGTCATCATGGTGCTGAGACTTAACCCCTAGGCCACCAGGGAGTCCCTAAATGTGATTTTTTTTAATCTATCAAATTAGCAAAGATCAAAACAAAATCGCTAGTATCCAGGATAGGAAAGGATTTAGAGAAAATAGGTGCTCTCATACTACTGGTGGACAGCATTTCTAGTGAGAGATCAGGCACAAAATAGCAAAATAAAATATTAAGTTGTTAAGATCCTTTTACTTAGAATTTGTGTTAAGAAAGTAACCCAAGATCTGCACCAAAATCTATGTACAGGAAACACTAAAAATGATGATAAATACTTCTCTCTGAATTGAATGTCTCTCCTGAGAAACGAAAAACTGGAGAGGAAGCCTGGAAGCCAGGGGTGGGAAGCAGACTCTGATATGTAATCTTTTGTATTTCTTCCTAATTTTCAGTCTGTTCAGATATTATCAAAGCAAATACATTTTAAACATTAGTGATGCCATACAGTAATGATTTAATGGCATGAGTAAATGCTTACAACTGTAAAATGGAGTTGGCAACACAGCATGTAGAATGAGAATTTTGAAAAAACAAAGTAACATTTATTAAAATACAAATGAGTGTATTTATCTGTATTTATTTTATATATAAATACAAAAGATATGCACCTTGAATATTTTAATATAGCTAAGTACACACACACACACAAGACAGGAAATAAATACATTACAATGTCAACTCTGATTGTATCTATGTGGGGAAATTTTAGGTAACTTTTACTTTCTTTTTTAAACTTTCTACATTTCGCACAGTAACTGCAACAATTTTTGAGTCAGAAAAATTATACATCAGATATTTAGATATTATGCAAATGCATAATGAGACACACTTTCTCAAACATTGTTAGTAGAAGCAAATTGGTATCATACTTTCTGAAAGCAACATGAAAATTTTTATTGTCTTAAAATATCTAAATTCTTTGATCCAGTAAGTCCACTTTGGGAAATCTATGCCACAAAATTAATACTAAACACAGAAAAAAACTTCAAGATTAACAAACCTATTGGTCCTTTTCTCTCAAATATGAAATTAGAAATAAATTTACCAAGAATAAGAAAATAGCCAAGTCAAAGGTAAGAAGTCTATTAAGTTATGGTCACTTATAATATGAAAAGTTTATTATAGCTCATAATAATAAAATTAATCTAAAAGATAAAATTACTTATGAAAAATGAGCACAACTGTGTAAAAACTATTCAAAATCCATTTGACTTTAGAAATCTGGGGAAAATAGAGTGCTCAGTAAGTTGCTGTTAGTGGGCTGTCTTTGAGTAATACTGTAGAGCAAGGTAGGTGTGTAATGGGGTGCCAGGAAAAGGGTAGACTCCAGGTTCCCTGCCCCACCCAAGGGAGGGTGGAGCTGAGAGGGAGGAGAAGAAGCATGAGAGAAGACTGGGGAAGGAAGGAAGCAGGATGGAGAGCCAGAAGGAGACCTGGATGAGGTATGTGGAGCAGAGAGACATGTGAAGAAGCTGTGCTAGCTTCTTGGTCCTGGACTAGTCCAAACAAATGTGAATGTGAGACCCGTGGGGAGGATAACAACAGCAGCTTTTACCTTGATTTTGATTTTGCTCTTTTCCTTCCAGACTTGTCTGGCTGTTTCTGACCCTTTTCTATGGGTCCCCACCAGGAGGTGCCTTAGACTTGTGGCAGGCTCTTAGACCTCAGAGGCCCTGTTTTGGGCCAACCCTGTTTGGGTGGACATTTACCCATGAGGAGATGGGTAACTTCAGAAGCTTGATTTGGAAACCCTATTCTTCCCCATTCTCCCCCTTTTCTGTTTTGCACACTAATTGTATTAAAGTTCCTTTCCATTGAAGGTCTTATGCACTAGAGTATGTTTTGTCTTGATGCAGCAGAAGGAGAGCAGAACAAATTTAGAGGAGGCAGGTTTGGGGGCTTTGGGATGACCCTCTCCCTGTCCTGCAACAGATTCTCACTGAGTTTTGGGACAGAGACAGCTGCTCTTCTTGTAGGTGAAAAGCAATCAATGATAGGCCCTCTCATGTGATTCTACCTAACACCTTTATGGCCCTGAGCAAAATACTTAACCTGAATTTCTCAGATTAAGTAAGGGTAATTATCCCTACCTCTCAGGGTTGATTGAGAATTAAATTTAGCAAACAGAATGTGTGTGTATGATAAATGATAGTTTTTGCTTCCCAAAATCTATTTTATTTAATAAAGATGTATTGCTCTCATCATGGAATAAAATAATGGCTGTGTAACTTTTTTTAACGTTAATGAGAGTAAAGAAATGGAAATGGGTTTCCAAAGCACTGGTTTTTTCATAAGAACTGAGAAAAATTAGTAAAAGGATTCAAACTTCCAACTACAAGATGAATATGGTGTAATGTAAAAACATGATGACTATAGTAACTGATCGTATAACTGAAATACGGAAGAAAGTATAACATATTTTCTCAGAGAGAGAGAAAAAGAAGTGAGGTGATGAGCTGATTAGCTAGATGGGGGAAATTCTTTTACAATGTATATCAAATCACCATGATGTACATGTTAAGTATCTTAAAAATTTATATGTCGGGCCTCCCCGGTGGCGCGGCGGTTGAGCTCTGGGTTGCGAGGCTGCCCGCAGCCTCTGCAGCGCGGGTTTGATCCTCGGCTCCTCCCCGGCCACCGGCGGAGGGTCCCACATGGCGCGCAGACCTCTCCTGCCGCCCGCTGCTCCCCTCAGCAGTGTACTTCGGTCCTTCTGCCTGCTCTGCTCCCCGCTCTGGCTCTGGTGAGTTCTCTCACCCTCCCGCGCTTCTGACTGTACCCAGTGCTTGTATAAATAAATAAAAATAAATAAATAAATCTTTAAAAAAAAATTTATATGTCAATTATACCTTTTAAAAAAAAGGAGGGCCTCTCTGGTGGCACAGGCAGTTGAGCACAGTGCTGTGAAGCTGCTGCAGCCTCTGCAGCACCAGTTCGATCACCACTGGCCTTGGAGCTACCCACATGGTGAGCCAGACCACTCCTGACTCCCCTACTGCTCCCCTCAGCAGTGTATTTCATCGGTCTGCCTGTTCTGTTCCCAGCTCTGGCTCTGGTGAATCCTCTCATCCTCCCGCACATCTGGCCTGTACCCTGGTTCTTATATAAATAAAAATAAATCTTAAAAAAAAAAGGAATTGAGAAAGGAGACCCAAACCTTGGACAAGAGAGGACAGCATTACCTGAAACTAACAAGTATTGGGGCCGAAGTGGCCGCAACAAGACAGGGAAAGATCAAAGAAACAAGGCATAGACGCCCACAGCTAACCCCAAAAAGCAAAATCTGGGGCAGAAGGGAAGAAAAACAGCTGGGGAATGCCCCCCACCGCCCCCCCACGCTGGGTCTCCTCTCCCAGGATACTGGTTAATTATGCACGGTGACTGAGTCCATGTGCTGGAGTATCCACGCCCCTCCGCCACAGAATTACTGAGTCGTATTTAAAATAATGACATGTTCTATTCGGTCAGACTAATGGATTTAACTTGAATAAATTTAAGGGAGGAAAAAAATGATCTTGGAGTGTGTGTGGGGGGCGGGGGGGTGGTCTCAGTGCCAGTGGTGGAGCCATTTTGCAAGCCAAAATAGTGGGGATGACCAGAAGAAGGAGATAAATATTGCAGGGTACAGACGGAAATCAAGGCGGGCGGGAGTCCTGGGGTGCCGTAGGGTGTGAAGGGTCTCACCTTTCCCATTCTCTGAGCAGGGACACCTGTTGGATATGGAGATGTGCAGAAGCCCCATAGACATAATTTGAGCCGATGTATAGATTGTGGTACTAACATTCATGGGCCAGCGCTGGTAGTAGCGGCTCCCGGAGAGATACAGCCATTTCTTGGAGAAGAGCATGACCAGCAGCAGGATGAAGGCGATCAGGCTGAGCTCTGAGGCCAATGCCTGCGCTATCCAGCGGGAGCTGTGTTTCATTTTCCATTGCAGGGACAACAGAGAGTCCCTCTGTCCCTCCCTGGACATCTGCCTAGCATTGGCCGAGTCCGGGACTGAATAATGCTTCTCATATTGTTCTTCCAGGCTCACCTCCGCCCTATCCTGCTCCCCAACCCCCTCCTGGCTTTCCAGGTCGCTGATGCTCATTCCTGTCTCCTCCTGACCCAGGGAACTCATCCCTAGAGTCCCCTGTTCCCATCTTGTACACCCCCTGTATCTCCTTCTATCCTCCACCCCATCGCCCCTTTCCCTTGTTAGGTTCAGTTGTCCCTCATCTTTTAAATATTTTCATCAGGCAGAGTAGTTGCCACCATTTTCCCCGGGGTCTAGGAAAGAAAAACCCATTCAATAGAACAGGGACCCTAACTGCCATGGAATATTCTTGTGGGCAAAGGGGGGAGGTGGAGGGAGCAGTCAGATGGGGGAGGGGCTCAAGGCTTAAGCTCCAGCCCTTTCTCTAAATACTATTCCTCAGGCACCAACTCAAAAATGTGGATTGATGCCTCATTTGCCCTAAGAGCAGTGACTCTAAGGGCCTCCTTTTCTTTTCCCATCTCCTCTACAACAGCCCCAGCCCCAAATCATGCTCACTGATGAATCCAGAGGAGGGAGAAGGAGCTCCCCCACAACATTCCCCTTTTGTTGTTATTTGGAAATGTCTTCCAGAGGTGAAATTAATCTTCCCACTACCACCCCAACCCCTTACCCCCTCTGCTGCCTATACTCACACCCCCTCCCTCCTCTGTGTCTTTTTCCACTTCTTTTTTCTCAAGAAGACAGGATCAGCAGGGAGGACATGAAAGTGTCATACAAGCTAAGATTTTTCTGACATCCCTTTTAAGTTAAAGAAAAATAAATCTGAGTCACTTGTCACAGGCAGCCTCATCATAGAGGCATCTAGACTTCAGACACCTAAAACTTTCATGAGGAGAAAGCCTTTCAAATTTGGATGTGAGTTTGAATCCTACCAGAGTTGGCTTACTTTGTGGAGACAGTGACAGACACAACTGGCTAAGAACACAGGCTTTAGGGTCTAGTAAGTAGAGGAATGAATCTTGGGCCTTCCTCTTAATAGCCCGTGAACCAGGGTGAGTCGTATAGCTTGGTTATACCTGTGTACTCATCTGTAACACAGCTGCAAGTCTCAGACTTGGTTTGAGTATTGAGTGAGAAAATAAACAAAAAAGCACTCATTGTTCATAGCAAATTCCCAAAAAGTAACAGTTATTATTGTTAAAGTATCATTCCAACTGTCTTAACCTCTTTCACTAACAGAGAAAAGGCAAAAACAGGTTTTTGTTGTTGTTGTTTTTAAGATTTATTTATTTTTACACAAGAGCTGGGGTTCAGGCCAGAGGCATGAGCAGGTGCGACAGGAGAGGTCTGCGGCTTCATATGGGATTCTCCCCTGCAGGCAGGGATCGAACCTGCACTGCAGAAGCTGTGGACAGCTTCACAGCACTGCTCTCAACCCACTGCGCCACCAGGGAGGCCCCAAAAACAAGTTTTTGACAGTTTTTGACAGGTTTCTGGCAATGTAGTGACTGCAAATGATGGAAGGGAACTTGAATTAGTTGAAGCAAAAACGAGAGTAAATCATGAATTACCAGGTCTTGTGCACAGCTGGAACTCAGGAATGGCTGGAACTGGGAATTCAAATCCTGTGAGGGTTCTTCCTCTGTGCCTTAATCCTTTTGGGCTGCTATAACAAAATACCACAGACTGGGTAGCTTATAAACAACAGAAAATTTTTCCTTGCAGTTTCAGCAACTCGAAGTCCAAGTTCACAGTGCTGGCATGGTCAGGTGAGGGCCTGTTTCAAGGCTCCAGGCTTCTTGCTGTGTTATTAGTGCAGCTCTGTGGGGTCTTTTTTATAAAGGCACTGATACCATTCATGAGGTTCATCCGTCATGACCTAGTCACCTCCCAAAGACCCCACCTCCTAATACCATAACCTTGGCAATTATTTCTTCAACATATGAATTTTGGAGGATACAACATTCAAGCCACGGCACCCCGTATTTGTTTCACTCCTCCCTGAGCATCTTGCTCTTCCTCTGTAAATCCTCCTCCCTCTCTCCTTTGGCCCACAGGGTGAGAAACATGGCCCTCTTGCTCCAAACTATCTACCTTGCACCTTGGGCCGCCAGAGTGGAGACTTCCCAGTCCCAACCCCAAGTATTCACTGGCTCTGTCAGGACATGAAGCATCCCTAGAACAATCGACCATGGTCAGGAGTGCCTGGATGAGGAAGCTGACCCCTGAAGACAAGTGGGGGAGCAGTGCTGGAAGAGGGGGTGCTGGCCTATGGGGAATGTCATTCATGCAGCACTAGTGATATTCAGGATTGCATTTCCTCCCGTGGATCAGTTTTAGTTTGCCTGAAGAGTGTAAGATTTTCTAATCATAATAAGCTAGTCAAACAGCAACATAAAACACAACACAAAACAACATGAAATGATTTGGGAAATAGAATGTTTCCTGGAAAATGTAACTCCCAGAAAATGACATTATAAATATGATACCATTTTATGGAGCTCATAAACAAGCACAATTAAGCCATTGTTTAAGCACATTATTATGATTGCATGATATGTTTTTAAGTGCTGGAATAATAAACACAAAATATGGCACTGTGGTCAATTCTCAGAGGGGGCAGGGGAACGCAGCAAGGAGGATTACACTGGTATATACACGTTGTTGGTCATAGGTTCTCGACTCCTCAGCTGGATGACAGATGCATGCATATTCATCATATTATAATAACTATAACTAACATATTTCGCATAATCCTGTGAATGTATAAAATACTGTTTTTCAAAAGGTAATTAAAAATAGTTCAAGAAAGGAAATGTAATCTCAGTGATTACTAGCTCTGCTGTGGAAGATATTTATATACTCACAATATATAAGGTAAACAGTGTTAATTGAGTTTCAACTTTTAAAATCAACAGATGGACAAAGCACGGAAGACTTAACGATAGCTACAAAAGTAAACAGAGCTGTTTTCAGCTTTGATGTTGCCCAAGTAAAAGCCTAGAAGAAATAAACTGGAAGGTGGAAGGAGAAGAGAGTTGAAAGGAAGGGAGGGGGCCGGACAACAAGGTCTCCGTGTACATTAGAGAGGGATGTGCACTGCACAAGTGCACAGGTCTGAAGGAGTGAGTGAGGACTGAACTCCACTCTGCCACTCCCAAAGAGGATCCAATGACATGGAAGAAGAGGCACTGTGTTCTTTATCTCATAAAGTTGTTTCATCCACTGAAGCCAAACACCCCATGCCTGTTCAGAGGGGAGATTAACCACGAGGCACAAAGGTGACTGATGGGCTGGAGATAGTCCTAGTGCACTATTTTTAAAGGTTGTACATTGGTGAGAGTTCTTTGGTTCCAGTATGAACCCAGACTTACCAAGTTAGGTCAAAAGAAGTGTATTGAGGAGATAGATACTGGATGAACAGTCTCAAAGAGGAAGCTGTACATCCAGGCTAGAACTAAGCAGGGACTGGGAGAACATGGATGAATCACTAGCAAGAGCTGCGTCTCTGCTCACTGCTTCCCCACAGTTTGCCCCCACTAATCTCCATCCTTCTCTATTACTGGCCAGGAATCCCTGGAATAGGCTGGCCTGGGCAGGTAACGTATTGCCTCTGAAACGGGAAGGTGACACCCTGAAAGCCCACTAGAGCCACATAAACTTGGGAATGGATAGTTGCTCCAAAAGAATGGAAAACAAGCTGTCAAAAAATAGTAATAGCTTATTCGTACATATACAGAGTTGCAGCCAAAATGAGTGCAAGCCTGAGAGGTTTTCTGAAAAGGAAAGTGTTCACTGTTTTATCTGTAAGGGCAGGAGCCTGGACAGCCTATAGTGTACAATAGCCTCTCAGTGACCACAGACAAAGTCAATCAGGAGAACATGGACTCGGACTTTTTGGTCACTCCTTGACTGTCCTTGTGGACTTGCTTTGCTACCTGCTCAACATTCAGAAACAGCCTTACCGCAGGCCTGCTTACCTGGTGCTTACCTGCTTACCAGTGTGAATCTCCTTGGCAGTGAGCCCCCTGGCATAGTTAGGACATTTCAATAGACAATTCCCTCCCATTTGCACCAGTAAAAGTATGCATGTTTCTTTCATGTGAGTCATAGTATTCCTGAAACTCTAATGTGTATACTAATGACATGGGCATCACATTAAAATGCAGCTACTACACTTCTTACAAGCTCCCAGGTGGTGCTCGTGCTGCTGGTCCAAGGATCACACACTGAGTAGTGAAGTTGTACAAGACCTGGGTTGCTGGACCCTCTTCTCTAGGGTGCCTCTTGACTATGGGTACATAAGAAAATGATGAGCAGATCTATCAGCTTGTGCTCCCATTGCTATTTTTCTGCCTCTTGCTCTGTTTCTGTCAGCAATGTCTCCAGTACCTTTAACTTTGGCTCTCCTAGCCAAGGTCATCCATGACCACTTGGGCATCATGGAGGGACTCATGATCAAAGTCCATGCCATCGCTGCCACCCAGAAGACTATAAAAGCTGTGGCATGATAGCCAATGGGTTGCCAATAATATCCCTACTTCACCTGGCACCACCAACACTGTGGGCAAGATAACCAATAGCTGAACAGAAAATTCACTGGCATGGCCTTCCATATCCCCACATTCAGTGTGTCACTTGTGGATGTGATCTGCAGCCTGGAGAAAACTGCCAATATGATGACACCAAGAAGGCAGTGAAGCAGAACACTCTGGGAGGACCAGGTTGTCTCCTTTAATTTTAACAATGATACCCACTTCACCTTTAATGCTAGCATTTCCTTCAAATACTATTTTTGTTAAGCTCATTACCTGGTATTAAAATGAATGTGGCTACAACAAATAGGGTGGTACACTTTATGGTCCCCATGGCTTCCAAGGAGTAAAAGCTCCCTGGACCACCAGCCCAGGTAGGAGCACAGGAGGAAGTGAGAAGCCCTCAGCTGTTGGGGCCTCTCTGCTCAATTGGCAGAAACTGACTTGAGCTGGCTTGGACAACAACCAAGAAAACTAAGTATAAGGAATAAATATAACGGATGTAAGTGTCATATTCTGCCCTGGAGAAGCAAAACGTTCCTGGATTTGGGAGTAGGAGCAGAGACTTATTTTCAGTGAAGCTAATAAAACTTTAGCTTCAGGGTTGCTCACTTGCATTGGCCCCTTTCAGACTGCCCTGCAGGGGCCTAAAAATGTGTTCATAAGGGCATGTTTCTATATTTGCAAATATCGGTCCTCCCTGGTGGTGCAGGGGTTAAGTCTCAGCTCTATCAAGCTATTGCCAGCCACTGCAGCATGAGGCATGAGTTCAATCCCCAGCCAGGGAGCAAACATACATGGCACAGCAGACATCTCCTGCCTCGTCAGCTGCTCCCCTCAGCAGTGTATTTCAGTAGATCTGCCTGTTCTGCTCTCTACTGTCTCTAGTGAATTCTCTCACCCCCCACCCCGCCCCTGCGCCTCTGGCCTAGACCCCAGTTCTTGTATTCATTAATAAGTAGAATAAATCTATAAAAAAATAAAATTATAAAATTGTTGTCATATGAAGAAGTAAAGACAGCATGCACCCAAAGATCACAGGAAAAAAAAACAGAGACGTGTTAAAATCACAAAACTTTCTTACTTTCCTGGGTTTTTGTGTTGTATTTGCCAGCTCTAAAAATACGTAATTTGGCCTCCCTGGTGGTGCAAGGGGTTAAGTACCGCATTATGAAGCAATATGCATGCAGCCTCTGCAGCACGGAGTTCGATCTCTGGCCAGCCAGGGAGAAACCCACATGGGGCAGCAGACCTCTCCTGACTCGCCTGCTGCTCCCCTCAGCAGTGTATTTTGGTCAGTCTGCCTGTTCTGTTCCCCACACTGTCTCTGGTGAATCCTCTCACCACCCACATCTCTGGCCTGTACCTCAGCTTTTGTATGCCTAAATAAAAAATCTTTTAAAAAATACGTAATTTATTGTGTTCAATCATTCTACATAAAAACACGTTCATATCCAATTTTTAATTCATATTTTGTACTTTTTTTTAAATTTTTTTTTATAGAGGCATGTTTTATTTATTTATTTATTTGTTTGTTTGTTTGTTTTCGTTTTATACATGCACTGGGTACAGTCAGAGGCGCGGGAGAGTGAGAGAATTCACCAGAGCCAGAGTGGGGAGCAGAGCAGGCAGAAGGACCGAAGTACACTGCTGAGGGGAGCAGCGGGCGGCAGGAGAGGTCTGCGCACCATGTGGGACCCTCCTCTGGTGGCCGGGGAGCAGCCGGGGATCGAACCGGCGCCGCAGAGGCCGCGGGCAGCTTCGCAACCCAGCGCTCAACCGCTGCGCCACCGGGGAGGCCCCATATTTTGTACTTTTGTATATATCCAGAAGAGCAAGTTTATTAATTTAAAAAAGGGGGAAAAAAGATGCTTGCACAGACACAAACGGGCAGAAAGAGTTGACATAGTTTGTATTCTTTTTCTTTAAAAGGACCCCTCAAAATTTGGATTCAACCCTTCCCACAGAAGGCATCTTCAGATTTCCAAGCATGGGGAAAGACTTCGCAAGTGAAGGAAAAGGTAATTGCAGGGGGCTGGGGGATAAGTGGAAATGGAGGCGAAAAAAAGGAAATTAGGGCAAGGAAGAGAGGTTGGGGCCCCAAAGTCCCAAAGTCAGTGAGTCCGGGCAGAGCAGCTTGAGCTTTAGCATTGGTAGAAGGTTCACCCTGACAGGTGTGTAATCGCGACCCAAGGAAACTGCCAACCCCTCCTCTGATGCTCAGGAGTGAGCCTCGAGGGGATCCAGTAGGCTCCCCCGCCACCCAACCAGCTAAAGGGTACAAAATTCAGCGGTGACTGGGTGTCCGGGCGACTGCGGGAGCTAGAGAGAGGACTGCCCCGGAGGGGAGCAGTCCCCTCTGGAGGCAGAGCCAGTCCCGAAAACACGGACTGGGAGGAGTCTGGCCACGCACCCGAGCGTGGTGGGCAGCCTGGTTGGTTAAAAGGGTAAATTCTTGGGGCTCTGTCCCTTTGCTCAACTTTGTCTACCTTGAGGAACTGTCGGGTTGCTGTGGGCTGGAAGGTTCTCCCTTGGTGAAGCGGCCAGCCCTGACCTGGAACCAGCAGATGAAAAGAAAGTTGAACCCCAGAAGGAAGGAGAAGAGATTTTCAGGAATGGACAGTGCGCCAAGCTGAAGGGCTCTGGAAAGGATCACAGGAAGTGGGCTGGAGGCGTGGGGCAAGACAGGGCAGAGCAAGGGAGCAGGTTTGTTGGAGAAAGGGTGTTCTTCACATCTACGGTTGCTTGTGGTCACAAGTGCAACACCTCGCAGCTAAGGTGTGATGACCTAGCTTGGGGAAGCCACGCTTTGTAGAAGGGCAAAGCAGGATCAGTGCCGTGTTTTATCATCAGCTCCCCAAATATGGTGGCTACAAATAAGAAGAACAGGGCTGTGACTAGAGGAGCACATCCTCAGAGAGACTCCCAAAGTGGACACAGCTTCCCCACCCTGCCCCGACAGGCACTTCTGGAACCAGGCCTTTCCAAACCCTATGAAAATGTTCATCTCGGGACTCCTCAGTGACACAACAGGTTGAGGGCAGGGCTGTGGGGCTGTCCGCAGCCTCTGCAGCATGGGTTCGATTCCTGGCAGGCCATGGAGATACCCACATGGTGCAGCAGACCTCTCCTGTCTCGCCCGCTGCTCCCCTCAGAAGTGTCTGCCTGTTCTGCTCCCCGCTCTGTCTCTGGTGAATTCTCTCACCCTCCCGTGCCTCTGGCCTGTACCCCAGTTCTTGTATAAATAAATAAATCTGAAAGAAAAGAAAGAGAAAGAGAAAGAGAGAGAGAGGAAGGAAGGAAGGAAAATGTTCATGTCTTTCACCTCCCCAGCATGCGTCTATGTAAAACTGATAGCTGCTTCATGCTCCTGGGCCCTCTCAGACAGGCTCCCAGAACGCAGACCCCTCCAGGACTTCACACAAATACTCAAATCACCCCAAGATGGAAAGGGGTATCTATGGTAACAGAAATATGGATGTCTCCCTCCCTCCATTTTTTCAGTCACTTTCGGAACATGTGGTTGTATTTTATGTGCCTTTCTGTCCTCCAAACGATTCTTATTTAGACTTCATCTCCCTATTATCCCACTATTAGAACATATGGATTGTAGCTGGTGCTTCCTAAGTAACAGGACTTGGGGAAGGGGTGAGGAGCTGGGAGGAATATTTATAGGATACATGCAAAGCTTTGTGTCTGCCTCTGAGTGTCTGTCTGTCTCTCTCTTTCTCTGAGGGAGAAGGGAGCACAGAGGAGTCTGGCTCTCCCCACCAGGAACCTTGAAGGAGCACAAGTGCCAGGTCCCTCTCACTACCACTATATTCTCTTCCTGGGCTTCAGTTCCCTTCTTGTCACCCACACTTCCCTTCACCCCCTGCCCAGAATACTCTTAGCACCGGTCTTCCCAGGGCCACTTCCTTCTTGTCATTTGGGTCTCAACTCAAACATCACTTCCACCTAAATACACACACACACACACTATCACAGCCCTTGCTGAATTTTCTACATAACACTTATTGCTACTTGACTTTATGTTCTTTTTTTTTTTTTTTTTTTTGTGGGACCCTCGCCTGCAGCCGGGGAACAAACCGGCACTGCAGAGGCTGCGGGCAACCTCACAGCCCAGCACTCAACCGCTGCGCCACCAGGGGAGGTCCTATGTTCTTATTAACTTGTTTACTTGGTAATTATTCTCCCCATCTGCGCCCCAACCTAGAATATAGACTCCTGGAGGGCAAATCCCTTGTCTTTTTCTTCTCAGATACAGAGAGCCTGGCACATAGAAAACACTCAATAAATAGGTGTAAAGCCTGGCTAGCTCAGTCAGTAGAGCATAAGACTCTTAATAATAAATAGGTCTAGAACTGAACTGAATTAAATATAGAGATATTTGACTGATCTGTAGAGAAACTTTATTGCTGCTGTCTTTTTATTTATTTATTTTTTGTCTTCTCGGTACAACTGCAACCTGGAGCCCCAGCTGTAGGTGGCCCTGCCCTGTCTTTTTCTCCAACCTGCAGTAGCCCTACACCCCAGCATCTCCAAACTCGCCACTGCCAGATTCTTAGGCCTTGAGCTATGTGTGATCCAACACATTCATGTCTTGCAGCTGATCTACAACCCTCGGTTCCCAGCAGAACCCAGCCCTAATCTCAAAGAATAATTTTCCAACCAGCCCCACCCATTTGGGAACCATATTTGGAAACCACCTTTAAGTACACAGTCCCCTGGAGAGCCTCAATATAGTTCCACCAACATTTATTGAAGGTTTTTCATTTGCCAGTGAATCTCCAAAGTCATGAACATGCCAAATGCCAATGCTTTGCTCCCTCTTTCAGAGTTTCTGCACCTCCTGAGGTCAGTGTGGCAGTTTCTATCCTGGGCAAGTTGCCATGTATGAGCAGAAGAAGAGGTGTGATGACCTAGCATGGGATGCTTGGGGCCCTCCTCACTGTCTGCTCTGCCCTGTCTGCATCTCTCACCTGAGCAGTTTCTCATCTTGAAGCAGGTGCTTTAGATGGAGTTGGACAGCAGCACTGGCTCTCCTTTCTCTCCCCACTTCCTGGCCCAGTGTTTCTGTGACAGGACCGGGGTAAAGGCAAGAAAGCTCAGGCCTAGCTCACCAGCCAACTCATGATCCAGAACTCTCATTTCTTCACCTGAACCTGGGACCCAGAGCCAATCCGAAGCCCAGAGCTGAGGCTAGATGACTGATTATAGCTCAGGTCAGAGGGTCTGCAGACAGAGATCATGGAGGCCAAACTGTGGGGCAAGGAGAAGGGCCTGAAAACTTCCAGGAGCCTCAGGCCCCAGCTGTTGGCCATCTTTAGTCCCTTGGGCTACTCTGCCAGGCAGCTTGACTGTACCATAACATTATCCTCCACTGTCATGGAACACTGGCCTCAAAGAGACCCAAAACCTAGGGCTCTCATCCCCAGCTCTGGCTTCTGACTGCCAAGCCACACCAAGCACGTTGTCCTCTGGAGCTCAGTCAGTGTGCTCCTTGGAGAAAGGAATAGGAAAAATGAGGGGTAGGAAAGAAATCATCTGGGAGGGGAGAAAAACCATGCACACACACCAAGTTCAACAGAATCACCTTCCTGACATGTGAACTAAGACAAACAGATCCTCTGAGACACACACTGTGGATTCTTCTAGAAGAGAAGTAGCTTGAGAGGGCACAGGAGGCACCCCAGGAATAGAATTTAACACTTCCCAGACTCAAAAGGCAGGATCCATCATTGCTATAGAACCAAGCAGGGTCACGAGATCTCTTGGACCCCTCTTTTGACTGCACGGGTCCCTGTTCACTACTGTTGGCTCTTTTGTTCTAGGACTTTTATCTGCAACCCAGTCTTTTTTAGCTGCGTTGATCTAGCTTCCTCTTCCTTAGCTATGAGCATAGCAGGGATGCTCATTGGCCAAGGGCTCAGTCAGCTCAGCACCCATTGGCTGCTCTGTTCTAAATTTGTCTCCACTGGCAACAAACTCAAGCCATCCTCATTCTCTCTGATGTGTGAGCTCCGACGGCCCCATTTTCATTGGCTGCCCTGTCCTGAAGTTTGTTCCCTGTTGGTTGCCATTAGAGGTAGCGTTTCCACTGACAGCGATTCCAGTGGATGAATGGGTTCTGTCCTCTCCACAGCCAGCTGCCAGCTGTCCCAACCTGTGCCTCCTCCCCAGGCTCCATTAAGGTGGGGGGGCACTGGGGGTGTCTGAAGAGGGCCCAACAGCCTCAAGAAGCTTCTGGTGCTTGCGAAGGTGCTTCCTCCTTTCATGTTCCCCTGTGACTTCACACACCAACTGGGCAGGGAAGGCCCCAGGAAGTCCTTTCAGCCAGCCTGGGGAAAGAGACAGACCCAAGTGGGGCAGGTAAGGAGGGAAAGGAGGCCCTGGAGGATCAAATGCCTGAGAGTGGGTGTGGGAATTAGTGGAGAAGTCTGCGATATTGGTAGAAAGGTCATTGGGCAGTGGAGGTGAAGATGACAGCAGCATCAAAGAAGGTGGGGTCACTCCTCTGTCAAACCCTGCAATGGCTGCTCATCTCACACAGAGTGAGAGCCAAAGTCCTTACAGGGGTCTATGAAGACTGATGTGATCTAGTCCCATTTACCTTAGGATCTCATTGGCTCTTCTCTGCTTTCTTCACTCCCTCGAGCCACCCCCCTTACTGCCCCTCAAACACACTGGCCAGGGGATCTCTGCACTGACTCTTGCCTCACATTCTGTGTACTTACATGCCTCACATCAGGGAACAGATAGCTCACTTGGAGCTCCCTATTCTAACTTTCAAACTCCCCACCCTGGGCCTCCCTGGTGGTGCAAGGAGTTAAGACAATTCAACCTATGAAGCAATCAGCAGCCTCTGCAGCACGAGTTCGATTCCCCTACCAGCCAGGGAGCAACCCACATGGTGCAACAGACCTCTTCTGACTCACCCATTGCTCCCCTCAGCAGTGTACTTCGGTCAATCTGCCTGTTTTGTTCCCCACTCTGTCTCTGGTGAATCCTCTTAGCCCCCACACCTCTGGTCTCTACCCCAGTTCTTGTATGCATAAGTAAATAAATCTTTAAAAAAAATAATAAACTCCCCACCCTGGGACTCCTGACCTCCTTGACTCTGTTCCACTTTTGTTTTTCTATAGCATTTCTTATCCTCAGCTATATAAGTTACTTATTCATCTTTTTTTTTCTTTATTGTTTCTCCTCTGCTAGAATGTTTGCTCCAGCAGGGACAAGAATCGCCATGTGTTCAGTTGCTCACCTAGCATGGTGAGCAGCCCTTCCTAGGTGCTAAATAAATATTTATTGAATGAATAAATAAAAGGCCTTCTCACCTTCAGGGCTCTTGTGCAAGTGTTTGAAGGGAGCCCTGGATTCCAGATTCTGTGCCTCTGTCTTGACTGGTGTTGAAGACTCTGAACACAGTTCCTGGGAACAATCTGCTTAGGGGTCAGTGACAGGACAGTGAGATCAGCACCTTTTTTAGCTTCTCCCCAACCCCAACCCCGCAATGATCCCCTCAAGACTCTCTTTTCCCCTCTATGGCAACTTACCACAGTCCTCATAGATGGTGTCTGGGGAGCAGGGAAGGGGACCTGGGGTAGGGAAGGCTCCCAGCCAGCGCTGCATGTCTGATCTAGTGGGGACATAGAGAAGGGTCACAATTAGCCCACGAGATCTTCGGAATTAGACAGAGGACAAAGGAGAGAGAGATGGGGGAGGATGACCACTCTGAGAGGTCAGGTGAGGGTTTCAAGGGTGTTTTCTGAGGAGACACAACTCACAGGGATGAAGCCTGGAGTAACCGGTGGGTGGGGCGGCCCTGGTGGTTGCTGAGAAGGGAGAGGCGGAAAGTAGGGGGTCCAGATGGGTCTGGAACCTGCTGAGCCTGGACCAGGGAACGATGAGCATAGTCCAGAACGTGTAGTCGCTGCCCACTGCCCAGAGAAGAAGTTCAGAGGCGAGCAGAGGTCCAATTGGACTTCTCTCCACCCCTGCCTGGGCTTGCCCACACTCCCTGAGACTCACCTCTTGGGTTGGGTGATGAGCAACAGGTCACTAAAGAGCAGCAGGCAGAGGGGGGTAAATCGAGGACGTGAAGTGAAAAGCACGCCTCCTCTCCGGCACCCTAATTCAGTCAGCTCCCCTTGCAATTCCAGGCGCCTTGACCAGGAGACCAGGGGCAAGGCCTGCAAGGAAGCAGGGAGAAGTTCTAGCTTCTCCAAGCATTGTGGGGAAAAGGAGGGAGGGTAGCTACCAGATGGGCAGGCTAACCTTGACTTTGTGGAAGCGTAGCCTCTGCGTGAGCCGGATCAGCTCCTCTGTCTGTTTCATGCGCCCCACCTCGGCACTGCAACGCTCAATGATCTGGGTACAGGGAGCCATGTCACCAATCCTGCTTCCTTTGCACCTCTGAATGTCTCCCTACCCAGGACTCCAGCCTGGATCTCTCCCTCCCCCAGCCTGAGCATCCCCTCTTGCCCACCTTGCTGATAGCACCCAGGGCCTTCTGGGCATTTTCCTGGCGGCTGGACCCCTCCTCTGTCTGGCGCAGGATATTCTGGGAACAAGGAAGAAGGGTGACTGGGCCCCCTGTTCTGTGCCCTGGGCTGCAGCTCAAAGAGTGCCGTATTTAACTTGGCAAAGTGCTCCATTGGAATTCACAAAGTTGGGGGACCAGCCTCAGTGAGGCTAAGAGACCTGGTCACTCACCATCTGCATAATAAGCAAGTCATATTGCCTCTCTGAACCTCAGTTTCCCCATCTGTAAAATGGAGATAGCATCTACCTAGGATACCAATAGCATTGTTTTGAGGATTCAAAAGTTAATAAAGTACTTAGCATAGTCTTTGTCACATAGTAAATCCTGAAAAGAAGGTTGCTTATTATTTTAACAGTTATTAACACAATAGTTAGTATAAACAATATAGCAGAGTGGTGAAGAGTGCTTCAATTTCAATTTTGTCTCCTTCAAATATTATTTGTATGATCTGGGGGAAGTTATTTAACCTCTCTGTGCCTCAGTTTTCTCATCTATAAAATGGGGTCAACAATAGTTCCTACCCTCCTACAGTTGTTGGTAAGTTTGAGTGGTTGTATAGCACTTAGAACCATGCCCAGGATAGAGTACTCAATAACTAATTAGCTGTGATTATTACTATTATGCTGTTTTTGTTGTCATCTACATGGGGATATATTAAGCTGGAGACAACATAAAGATGCTAATAATCTAGTTGTGGGGCCTCCCCTGGTGGCACAGGAGGTTGAGCGCCACCCTGTGAAGCTGTCAGATCCCGGCCAGGCGGCAAGGGTCCCACATGGCGTGGCAGACCTCTCCTGTCGTGCCCACTGCTCCCCTCAGCAGTGTATTTCGTCAGTCTGCCTGTTCTGTTTCCCACTCTGTCTCTGGTGAATCCTCTCACCTCCCACGAATCTGGCCTGTACCCTGGTTCTTGTGTAAATAAATTAATAAATCTTTTTTTAAAAATACTTTTTAAAAAATCTAGTGTTGGGAGAAGTTTCTACACTGCAATGAAAGAGTAGTTCTCAATCTTTTTTTTTTTTTTCAGTATTACCCCACTAAGGAAACTTTTTAGACATTTTTTTCCCTAGTTGTCCCTCTCACCATAAAATTTTACTTTATTTTGTCATAAATTTCTCTTTAAAAATTATGTTTATTGAGGTACATTGCTTTATGGTACTATATGTGTTTTAAATCACCACAAAATTTTAATACCACAGGTAGATACTGAGTATCTAAGTACCATGGCCCTTTGGAGAACCACAACCACTGGTATAGCTAAGAAATGTTTTGCACTCCCTCCCTTCAAAGAACCAATCTTTAGTTCTTGGGGATGATTGTCATCCCCACTGGGGTAGTATGCAGTGGCAGACTACAGTGGAAGAAGCTTCAGGGACAACTCACCAGATTCCCCCCAAGACCCAGAGAGTAGAAGAGACCTGCTCAGCAGTTAGTGGCAGAGCTAAATCTAGACTCTAGCCAGAGGCTCATGCCTCTAGCCAGAGGCTCTTTTCCTTCACCCACACTGCTCCTTTAAACATTTGCGTAGCTACAGGAAAGGTTTGGGAGATCCTGGATTTAGAGGCCCAGTTCGGAGTCCTGATTTAGGGATTTCTGTGTTCATGGTGGGAAATGATAATGACTGGGGAGAGTTCTCCAACAGGGCTGGTGGGGCCAAAAGGCCCAAGCCTTGGCAGGTACCTGCAGCAGCATGCGGAGCCGGGTAATGCGCTGGAAGGGTAGCAGCAGGAAGGACGGCAGAGGGAGCCGCTCACACTTCGGGAGGCTCTGCAGCCTCCGCAGCTCCGCAGAAAAGCGCACATTCGTGTCCCTGCAGAAGCAGGCCCAGGTTGTTTGCATCTCCCTGATGCTCCAACCTACCCTGACCTGGACCCAACCCCTGCTCCCCAGCTTCTCCCACCCGTGGCTCCCCCTCTGGTACACTCACATGAGGCGGCTGTAGGTCTCCTCCTGATACTGCTGGTTTCGCACATAGTCCACATACACCGAGAAAGGCCCCATGGCGTGGTCATGCACCACATCACACAGGTCGCTGATGTGGGGGGAAGAGCGTACTCGGGACAGCAATGTCCCTAGGAACCTGAAGGAGTGGGGGAACAGTTAATGGAGGGGGGCAGAGAGCCAGTCCCTTGGGTGCTGAAGGGAAGAACTGGGCACAACTGGGCCCCTGGAAGGGAAAACTTGGCACAGGGAGAAAGCTGGGACCCCACTGACCGCTCGCTGACTCCCTGGACTCGCTGCACATTGGAAAAGAGGGTGTGGTGATCCCGGGGGGTAAGCGTGTCCCGGAGAGCCTGGCTCAGCACAAAGGTGTCTGTCAGCAACCGCAGGGAGCGCAGGTAGGAGGCCTCAGATGTCACCACCTCAAACAGGCTCTGAGCAGGGAGGGCAGGGAGTTGTGGAAAGTTCAGCTCCCACCCGGTCCAGATGCTTCTTCCCTAGACCTGTCTTCCTGCCCAGGTATGCCTACCTCCTGCATGCGTCTCTCCTCTGGACTGAGGGTATCCAGGAGGCCACTGGCTCGCACAGCCGGAAGTTCCTGCCATAGTGTGTTTCGAGGTCCAGGGGGCCGTGAGAAGGTGGGCGCATCCCCAGGAATTGCTGGAGAGGGACCCCCATCCTCACTGACCCCCCATAGCTCCTCTGACAGCACAGCAGCTCTGTAGGTCTGGTACAGGGGTTCTGGAGAGCAGATGTCATTTATCAGGGAAACCCAGTACCCCAGAACCTTCCTCACTGCTTGATCATCACAGCACCCTCCCTCATCCCAGATCCAGAGGTGCTCACCATCCTGCAGGGGTAACTCCCAGTTTTGCTCTTTCAACAGCTCCAGCCCTTCCTCCTCCCTGTGGAGAGAGAAAGGGGAGTCCCCCAGAGCCACTGCTGTAATACACCTTCAGGGGGTGGTGTCTCATTACAGTGTAAGGGACTGCATAACTAGCATGCAGGTTATATGCAGGAATCCTGATCAAACACCAATTTCTTTTTTAATGTGCCTGTTATATGGAAGACCCTGCACCAAGGGAGTCCTATCTATTCCTTTATTTATACATATTTTTACATCATTTTTCATTTTTGCACAATGTATGCATTTTCATCTTGGTTATAGTCCCCATACAATTCCCACCACCCCTTATCTATTCCTATTATCTCCACTAATGTGTACCAGAGACTTCCAAGTCTCTGGATCCTACTCACGTAGCAACCGTTGTCTAGACTGTCCTATTTGTGCCTCTGTGAAACTCAGTCTGATCAAACCCAAATTCTTACACCTCCCCCACTCCCCACTCTTCTGATCATCACACCACCACCCATTCACCCAAGTTAATAAATAAATAAATAAATAAACCAGAACAGTGAGTAAATTGTTGGATAAGTGAATGGGCTCAGATTAACTCTGATAACAATGATGAACCCAAAATGATAAACAAGCCCAGAAAACACAGAAGAGATGCACGTAGTTTACAAATGGATTTGCAGACAATACTTGCAATGGAGACTCAAGCTGAGGGAAGGGAACTAAAACAGAGCACACACTATGGGCTGGCTCTTCACCAATAGCATACTCCATCTGCTCTGTGAAGCAGCTGGTGTGCTTATCCTTACTCCACAGATGAGGACTCTGAGACCCAGAAAGGCTCAGTGACTTGGATAAGGTCTCACAGATGATAAGGGATGGAACTGAGATTAGAAACCAGGAGCCCTCCTTCACTGCACTTTGTGGAATTAGGATTTAACTGAACCTGGAGGTTTGCAGGCCCTCAGGTGGGAGTGAGACAAGGGGAGGTATTTGGTACCTTCCCTCCATGGTTGCTGGAGGAGCATTCCGAGGAATTTCACGAGGACTGTCCCCTGGAGAAAGAACCCAGAGTTAAGAGAACAAACCTCCATGAGCCCCAGGACTCTCCCCAGACACCCATGACTATAAACACTACAACTCCTATCAGCCCCAAAACAGCATCTGGTGGAGGAACAAAAAGCCCAGGTCCTGTTGGGGGTCGTAGTTCATTGGTTTTTGGCCCACTCCACCTTGACCCCTTCCCTTTCCAGCCCAGAGGTCCACTCCCCATGCCCTGTACCTGTTTTGATTCCATCTTCGGAGGGCAGATCGAGATCTGGCAGTGGGTGGTCCTCAGAGATGATGGTATCCTGCCTGACTCGAGTTGGTTTGGGGGGTTTTAGGGGTGGCAGGAGTTTGCGCTCAGCAGTAGAACGATAGGATGTGAGAACAACTGAGGGCTTACTGACAATTGGAGGATTGGGCCGTGAGCGGGAGGCTCGAAGTGGGGAGGCCCGACAGAGAGTCCTGGGGATGTCCTCATAGCCCCCCACAGGCACCCATCGGAGCTCCTGGCCAGGCCGAGCTACATGGCAGACACAAGGGCAGGAGGGAGGGCAGACCAGGGCAGCATCTGTGGGAGACAGGGGTGTCCTAAGGAGAAGCCCCACCCTACCCAGACCTTTTCCCTCCCCTTAGCTTATCCAGCAGCAGAAACACAGAGGTCAGGGCCTCCCTGGTGGTGCAAGGGGTTAAGATGCAACCTATGAAGCTGTCCACAGCAGCCTCTGCAGCACGAGTTCAATTCCCCGGCCGGCCAAGGAGCAACCCATATGGCGCAGCAGACCTCTCCTGACTTGCCCGCTGCTCCCCTCAGCAGTGTACTTCAGTCAATCTGTCTGTTCTGTTCCCCATGCTGTCTCTGGTGAATCCTCTCACCACCCCACCCCCCCATGCCTCTGGCCTGTACCCCAGCTCTTGCATGCATAAATAAATAAATCTTTAAAAAAAAAATAGAAGAAGAAACACAGAGGTCAAATCCCAGGCATCTATTTCCTTGACCCTGACTCTCTTCAATCTCTAGAAGTGTGAAAATTAGATTTTCCAAACATAAAAGTCATTTTTGAAAAGGTAGCCCCTGAAAGTACCCGGTGTTGAAGTATGGAAAGTAAAGTAGGTGAGCTGAATTGAACCCACCCTAATCCCTTGACACACTTACCAGGAGGCCCGTTATCCTGAGACCCACTCCCATTGAGGATGCCCTGCGGACTCTCTCTCTCCCCATTCACATCCACTGCCCCTTGAGGCCCGGGCTCCAGGGCATCCACAGCCTGCACTCTGCCTTCAGTCCCCCACTCAAACTTGCCAGCCAGTCTCCGCACAGTGCCGGGGGCTGAGGAGGAGACTGAGGAAGAGCTATCGGGAGCCAAGACTTGGGGCTGAGTTGTGTGGGGTGACCCTGAGGGTTTGGGTGGGGGGACTGGAGATCGGGGAGCCGGCTCTGGGGAGATGGAGCGCCGGGACACTGGACTGGGGGTGCTAGAAGGTGAATCTGGGGAAGCCTGGGAGTCAAGGCTGACTTTAGAAGCTGAAGGGGGAAGAAGGGCAGGGGGCTTGAGGGATGAGACCGGGGGCTCCCAGAAAATGGGAGTGCACATTGGGGTAGCTGCATCATTGGAGGTGAGGGAAGATTCTTGTGGAGAACCATTGTGGGGGGGCCCTGGGGACTGGGCAGCCCGGGGGCGTGAAGGGGGGCGGGGGCGGATGATCCGAGGGGGTTTCTGGGTAGGGGGAGTTGCTGCTGGAAGAGACTGGGCTGACATCTTCCTCTGATCTCTTGGAAGGAGTGAGATAGTATGCAGGAGTCATCCCCTGAGGAAGAGGGAGGGATAAAGAGAAACACTTGCTAAGCATTCCCCTTAGCCCCCATCCTGTGGTTAGATTGAAACCTCTGAGCCGAAATCTTTTGCAAGCAAATACACTAGTCAGGAGGGAAGGCTGGTCACTTCCTCTCATTTCCACTGACTTCTCTCTTCCATCCACCTCTTGCCCCTCCTTTCTCCATCCCTCGGTCCCTAGACCCACTTGGCAACTCTTCTTGGCCCTGCCAACCTACAATTCTCTCTCAGTCTTCTGACTTCTGCCAAAGCCAGAGAGGAGGAGGAGGCTGGGGTAGAAGCACCTACATAGAGACCCAGTTAAGCGGGCATGGGGTACAAGGTCCCCAATAAGTGGACCTCTGCTTGCCGATAACACCACCAGGGGCCTGCATGATGGCTGTGTGTTGTGTGTGTGTGGTGTGTGCTGTGGAGGTTTGCATGTGTGTTTTAAGTATGTGGAATACGGGGTGTGTGTGTGAGTGTGCGCGCGTGCGTGCACACACACACACACACACACACAAGCACACTCATACCATGCACAGGCTTGGGCTTTGAGGGATGCATCATTATTTCCCTGCTCCAACAGGCTCTCCACCCCCCATTTCCCAGTTCCTCTCTCCGGACTCTCCCTTTCCGGATTATTTTTAGTCTCCTTTTCCTGCCATGAAGATTCCTGGAGCCTCTGACCCCAAGAGACCAGGAGGCCCCGGGCATGGTCTTTCCTGCGCCATCCTCTTATCCCTACCTGCCCCCTGCCCCCCATCTGTTCATAGAGAGAAGCCCCAGTGGCAGCCTGGGTCCTGCCAGGATGCTTGGAGAGGTGGTCGGGAGACCAGACAGAAGGCAGAGACTGATGGAGCCAGGACACGGAGCTTGGGCTTCCCGTCCTCCCATGGCTGCATAACTAAGACGGCTATAGGATGAGGGCTGGGGGCAGGGGCACCCCCAAACTTCCTTCCAGAGTCAACAAGGAGTCAAATTCCTCCAGGACCCAGATTGGATTCTTGGGAAATGATGCTGGGTGGGGGCTAAAGACTGAGTCTTACAGCTCAATGGCTTCTGTGTTCTGGCAGGAAGCCCCTTATCGAGGTGACCCAGGCAGTGCCCTCACCAGTAAGCCAGCTCCTCCCCAGCCTCTGCCCCCCTCAGCAGTCCCGCCCTTCTCTTAGCTACCTGTAGTTACTTCCTGTCCCCCTCCCCCAATTAAGGCCTACTGCAGGGACCTAGGTACTTGGCCCCAAACACTCACCCTTGAGTCCTCTCCACTCTCAGTCACCTCCCAGGGCTGAGTGAGTAGGGGCAGGAAACAGGAATCAGATCCTCCCTCCCAACCGGACACCCCCCCAAACTGCACCACATTCCACATGCGCACACTGGTGCTCTGGAAGACGTGAGGGACCCTGTATCCCAGTCTCGGAGGTTAGGGCAGGGAAGGGCTGAAATCCAGGTGTGGTGGGTGGGCTATTCTGTTCGTGCATAGTTTGTGGGCACTGCTGTGTGGATAGGGGCACACCAGAGCTGGGGGTGGACAGGGGCTGGGATGAGGATGTGGTGTCACTGGCACAGACTGAGCTGGTGGTAGGACACCGGCGTCTAGATACCTCAATTTCAACTAAGGGATGAAGGGACGGTGTATCTAGCCATCTTTCCCACACCCCACAAGACAGCATGTTCCTTTAGCTTCCAACCTGTTCTCCTGAGTGTGAACCAGCCCATTATTTCGCACCAAGGAACTCCCCTCACCCGGCCCATTCTCCCTCCCCCTAAATTTACCTTAGTCTCTTTGAAAGCAGTTCCGTTTTCAGCCTGTCCTGCCTGCCCCTTGGAACAAGGAGTGTGAAGTCAGGTCTCTGTGTCTGTTCATGTGTTTCTGGGGCAGGAACTAAGGACCCAGATTGAGATCTCCACAGAGGAAGCCAGTTCCTCAGCCCCACCCGGCCATTGTGTCAGGAGTGTGTGTGTGTGTGTGTGTGTGTGTGTATTGGGGGTGAGGGGATAGGGAGGTAGGGAGGGAGATCTGACATTTGACTCTTCCGTGTGGGCGTGACCTTTGCTGGGACCCCTGCCTCCACCATTCTTAGTCCCTATTTCTCTGAGTTCCAGCCCCTGTCTCTCCCAGTCTCACTGGAAGGTTTTGATGTTAATTGGTTGGGCGTCAGTACTGCTGGGGTGGGTGGGCAGGGGTACCTCTTACCTCTAATTTTCCCTATGATTGAGGAACTGAGTTCCCAGGGCTGGGAGGTATGTCATAAAAATAGCCCAGGGGGTAGAATGAACCACACCCCAGCCTGGGAAGTAGAGTAGTGGAAAGAAGTTATGAACTCTGGGGGCCTTTGTCCAACACCCCGGTGCCTGCTTTTGCCTGACCTTCTCTCTCTCTCTCACACACGCACCCCCCCCCCCAAACCAAGGCACTAGAAAGGAAAGCTAGAAAACCAGGATAAAAACATAAAAACGTGTTTTAACCCCTTTTCCCTTAGAGTAAAAAACAAAGGCCTTATCATGACCAAAGCCCTTAACTTCTATTGGGGACATTCCTGCCCCAAAGCCTTTGTACTGGCTATGCCTTCTGGCTGGAAATCTCCTTCCCAGGACCTCCCCTCTTTTAAGACATTGTTCAGTGATCACCTTCTCAAGGAGGCCTGTCCCATCACTCTAAAATTGCAACCCACACATGCACACTTTCTGACCTTCCTTTTCCCATAGAAATCATTCCTTTAACGTACCATGTATTTTAATTTTAAATTGCATATTATGTTTATAATTAATTAGCTTTTCATAATATAAAGTAAGTTTCCTGGAGGCAGAATCTCTATCTATTTTGTTCACGGATGTATCCCAAAGTTCTGAAACAGGGTCAGGCACATAACAGGTGCTTAATATTGATAAATTGAGCCAAAATGAATTGAATTCTCCCAACAGCCCACTATGCCCCAGACTATCCTTCCCCAGAGGCCATTTCCATAATTCTGTTGACCCCACCAGTTTTTCATCCCTCACACACACACACACACCAGACACACATACCATATTCACACCAATCACACACTACACACTCACACACCCTATACCAAATACACATACCACACACTACAATCATACATACCACACCCCCCACATACATACACCATACACAGACCACTCACATGCCACATTTATACATCACACACATGCACATACCAAATGCACACACCATACACCACACACATCATACCCCACCCCACATACACACATATCACACACCATACACACACATCACATACACACCACACCCAACACATATATACCACACCTCATCACTCTATACAAATATCATACAACCACACACAACACTGGTGTGCATGTACACACACCAGGACCAGGCATTCAACCTCCCAGCCGCCACCTCTCAATTCTTCTGGGCTTCCAAGGAGAGGAAATCTTGTCTCCAACAGTGACCCTATCAAAGAAGATAGATACACATGTGTAGCCAAACAAATCCTGTTATGATTTGTTATTACTGAGATGGGAATGTATTTATTACTTTTGCTATTTACAAAAACAGCAGTAAAAAGATTCCTAACCCAGAGGTGCTGGTTATTAGTTGTAAACATGAAGCACTCCAAGCTTGAGGGGGGATGCAGGCAGAAGAGATTGAATTAGATGGGTCAGGCAGCCCCTGCATCTTTACTGTCTTCCTGTCTGGTCTGAGTTTATTTCCCTTTCTTTTCTCTATCCAGGGCAGACAGACCCACCTGGGGAGGTTTCTCACAGGTCTAGTGGGGAAACACCTCCCCCACACCCAAAGGCAGAGAATAGTTCTAACACTCCTAAGAGAGACGCCATTGGGCCACTGCTCAAAGCAACTACAAAGATGAAAATTATGACTTTTCGGATGACTAAACCACTCACTTTATTTAGTCCTTATCTCATTCCAAAAACAAACTGAGATCTGAAAATCATACCATGAGCTCTACACCAGATTCTTTTTTGCACCAATGTATTTTATTGTATAATTGTTTTTTACAAAAGTACTGAAGGTTTTTAGTGTAATTATGCATTTCCCCAGCACTCCACAAAGCAAAGAGTTTTTGGTTTTCTATATTTCAAAAGTACTTTATCGTTTCAAGTATTTGTTCTGCCCTCTTACCATTCTGCCTTCAAGTATTTGTTCTGTCCTCATACCTCCACCTTCTCTTACCATTACCCTATAACCATTTTTCATGTTGGTACATGGTCTTTGTGGCTAAACCTTTCCTGGAATTTAATAATGCATCAACTAGATTTTTGCCATTCTGGTAACAGCAGTAGGAGTCTTCTAGGAAACATTCCATCCTCAACCACTCCATGTGGTCCAGTGGGGTTGCCAGTCATAACAGCCTCCTCCAGGCCACCTGACCCAGGTTTGGTCAAACACTGTACACCATTTCTCTGCCCACAGAGTTTGGCCTGAGAATGAGTAAGTCACCCAAGCCAGGACAATCTCCTTCCTTAGGAAAGAGCCACTTTCTCCAAGGTCACAAGGCAGGGACAATGTAAGCCTAAAGTAATTAAATATGGCCTCCATTCCCCCACAATGGAGGAAAATAGCTAATAGTGGGAGAAAATTAACCCAAGTGCCCAAGAGAAGTAGATGCAGGAGATGGAGGGGGCTAGACAACACAATTTGCACCCTTTGGACTGTTACTTTCCTGAACCACTGAATTCCCCTTTCTGCTTAAGTTAGTTTGAGCTTGGTTTCTATCACTTACTGCTGAAAGAAACTTGACCATTACAATTTATTTCCTAGTGCAGGAAACTTGGGTAGCATCCAACGTTTGCCATTACAGTTAATGTTGCAATGAATGTATTTTTTAAAAAGAAAACCGGGCCTCCCCGGTGGCGCAGCGGTTGAGCGCTGGGTTGCGAAGCTGCCCGCGGGCTCTGCGGCACCGGTTCGATCCCCGGCTGCTCCCCGGCCACCGGAGGAGGGTCCCACATGGCGCGCAGACCTCTCCTGCCGCCCGCTGCTCCCCTCAGCAGTGTGCTTTGGTCCTTCTGCCTGCTCTGCTCCCCGCTCTGGCTCCGTGAATTCTCTCACCCTCCCGCACTTCTGACTGTACCCAGTGCTTGTATAAATAAGTAAAAAAAAATTAAAAAAAAAAAGATACAGATGCATTAAAAAAAAAAGAAAAAAGAAAACAAAAGAACTTTTCCTTTGAAACATGATTAATGAAGTAACCTTAGGACCTACAATATGATTGGTTTTGCTTTTGCTGGAAGACTTTTCTGGAAATGATGGAAAAGTCCTTAGATTTTTATCTCTCATCTCTTTACCTCCACATTAGGCAGCTCTCACCCTCTTTCAGTCTCCCTTATGCCACTCACCTCATCATGGGAAAGGTTTCATGGAGGAGAGGTACTTAGATTGTTCCTTGGAAATCTGGTAGAGTTTGGCCAGACCAAGAGGCAAGGCATGGGTAACCACTTGGGGGGACCAAGCAAGCAAAGGCACAGTGAAAAGGAAATCAGGCCCATCTGGAGAACTGGGAAAAGGAAGCTTAGATTAAATGAAAAGAAAAATATGAGGCTGGAGGAACAAAAAGAGGCTACACTGTGGGTAATCTATGGGCAGAACAGGCAAAGAGGATTTCTGAGCAACAGTGGGGGGAAGTGGACAGACAGCAAAAGTTTAACCAGCTCCACACACATTCTTCCTTCTTTCAGAACCTGGTTTTTCTTTGGAGACCTTCCCCTCCATCAGGCTAGTCCACATGGCTCATTCAGGGAGCAGCCAGTTAACATATTCTCTCTTTCCTGACTACCAAAATTATTTCAGGGTGAGCATGTCACAGCAGGACCACAGCATAATCCACATAGGACTCTGCTCCAATTATTTGAAGAGACTACTTTTTTTTTTAAGATTTATTTATTTATTTATGCAAGAACTGGGGTACAGGCCAGATTTGCGGGAGGGGTGAGAGGATTCACCAGAGACAGAGCAGAGGGTGGGGGGGAGAGGACAGAACAGGCAGACTGACGAAATACACTGCTGAGGGGAGCAGCGGGCGAGATAGGAGAGGTCTGGTGTGCCATGTGGGACCCTCGCCAGCTGGCTGGCCAGGATCAAACCGACGCTGCAGAGGCTGCGGATAGCTTCACAGCGCTGTGCTCAACCACCTGCGCCACCAGGGGAGGCCCTGAAGAGATTACTTTCTCTGATAGATTGTTCTCAGAGATGGTTGCAATGACCCCTCCCATCCCAAATGTCTTTATGCAATGTGACTTTGACACTCCTTCCATTAAGAAGGAAAATCTATTTCCTCTCCGACTCATTCTGGACTGGCCTTAATAAACTGCTTGATCAAGAGAATGCAAGGGGGCCTCCTCGGTGGCCCAGCTGTTGAGCGCTAGGCTGCGAAGCTTCCCCGAAGCCTCTGCAGCACC